TTATTCAAAAAATATATTAATAAGATATTTTGTTTAATTAAATTATTTAAAACTATATTCATAAAATTTTATTAATTATTAAAAAATTAAATTTAGAATTATAATATTGGGTTAATAGATTATAAAATTTCGATTAATTAATAATCTTCTAGAACATTTAATTAAGAAATCTTCTAAAATTCAATAGAAATTTAATTAAAGATGCTTTTTTTGGGGGGGAATTTAGAAATTAAAAATAATAAAATTTTATAAAATAAATAATTTCTATTATAGTTACCAAATTAAATAAATTAGCTTAACACAAATCTATTTCTACTTCAAAAGTATCAAATCCAAAAAGACTTAAAAAAATAAATATGAATTTGACTTTTTTAAAATGGCGGAACTTCAATAAACATAAATGATGTAAAAAATATAATAGCATCATATTTTTTTAGCTTTTTCAGATAGATTTTTTTTAAAATTGGGAGGGAGAAAAAAAATGGAGGAAAAATAATATTTTGAATACATTCGCAAAGCTCCATTTCCATCACAAAAAAGGACTTCTCTTTTGTTATGATGGGTTTTTCATTACCATCTTTATCCACTTCTACATCTTCTTCCATTAGATAGAAGCAATCGTAGACATTTACCAAAAAATCAGATTAGCTGAATTTCTGAAGCAATTCATATTCTTTTTTCAAAGATTCAATACCTTTCAAACCCTCTTTGCTAGTACATGTTAGGAATTTAAGGGCAACCATGCGATTACTCTTAACATTTTTAGCCTTCAAGACGAGGGCATAAGCACCGCTGCTTAAGTACTCGAAATTTTAGAAATATTTTTTCTGGTTGAGGATCAATTTGATTATTACTTTCAAAGCATGCTTTTGTATCTGACAATCCTTGGGGATCTTTTCTGATATTCCTCTTACTAATTATTTATAAAATTCTATGGACTATTTTGATTTTGATTAATTCTATCCCATTGAGGTGAGGAGTTGGCTAGGCTATTAACTTTTGAAGAGTAGGCTGTGAGCTATGCTTTTTTACTAAAAACAGTTGTTTTTTGTTTTGATGTGAAAATAATATATATACGCAAAAGAAATTTAGACTATCACTATTTATAGAGATTAACTCAAAGAAATTCGATTAATTTAGCTGATAAAAAAAAGAGCCTAATCAAGATGAAGTTTTTATTAGTTTTCAAATATAATAAAATCTCTCAAATAATATCATTAAATATATAAATGCAAATTAATAAAAATAATATTAATTTTTTATAAGAAAATGTAATAAAATAATATATTTAAATATTATAATAAAACATAATTGATTTTAAAATAAAAATGTAATAATTATTTTTATTTTATAAACAAAAAACCACATGTGATAATAAAATTGTTTTATTTTATTAGAAAGTATAAAATAAATAAAAATTAAATTATTTTAAATATTTAAATTGGCTAATTCATTTAAAATATTAAAATAATTAAAAATTGATTATCAAATTCTAAAAAATACTGATACTTCAAAGAAATTCAAAGATTTTTATTAATACCTTTTTGAGCTAAATACTATTCGCCTTAACCTGGTGTATGTATTATGGTTTTTAGCATAGCCTATGTATCATATAGTTAGTAGAAATTTATTAGCTAAACATTTGCATACTTTGATTAGTTTCTTAAGGCTCTTTATATTTTTTGTTTACATTCGTTGAACAAAATTTCAGGCTAAAATTTAAAAATAAAGTGAATAAATGAATGAATAATAATTAGTGGAAAAGCACATTTATTTTCATATAAAATATCCATCTATCTATATTAATTAATTGAGTCTTAAGGAAAAAGTCTTAACTTATTTATTTATCAATATACTAACTAATATCTTTTACAATTTATTTATTTTTTCTTTCACAAAAGCAACAAGCAGTTTAAAGAAGTCAATAAATATTTTTCATTTTTTCATTTAAAAAATTTCATAATAAATATTTTCATAAAAAAACCTATTTGTTGGATTTTTTCAAATTTTTTTATAAAAAAACTACCTAGAAATATTTTTTTTCTATTTAAATATGTCAAAATTAAATCTAGTTCACTTTTTAATGTTTAAGTAAATTAAATCATAAGATAAAAACTAATAAATGTTATTTTCTTAACCATAATTCATATTTCGGCTCTAATCTATATTATTATTATTAAATTATACACCACTGAATCTTCAAACCTCAATATTTTTTATGCAAATATATTTACTCGAAACTTGAATACATACTAAAATAATAATTCTATTGCTAAAAGCCATATAATTAATTTTTAATTTACTAAAAAGAATAATTTAATTTTTTTATCACTAGCTTACATATATTTATATATTTTTTGTTATATTTGTGGAAGAATTGAGAAAGTATGTAAAATAATTTTGATATACTTCACCTATATTTAATGAATTAATATAAAAATTTTAAATCTTAATCATTTTAATTAAACATTAATTTTTATGAATATTTTAAATATTTTTATTGGCTTATTTTAAAAAATAAAATTAAACTGATATAAAATATACTTTCTAAGAAATTCAAAATTTAAAAAAATGATAATTCTACTATAAATAAAAATGATAATTTGGTTAAATTTTTGAAAAAAGCCTAAATAATTTTTTTTTGTTCTAAAATCATCACTGTTCATCATCATTTTTTTGCTGAATATAAATTTATTAAATTGGTTAAGGTTGCTATTATTACTACGTCTGAGTAATTTTATATTATCAACTAAATTTACTTTTTTATCTAAAGTTTTTATATATTCATTGATTCTAACAATATCTAAAAGTTTTTCTTAATGTATAATATTATTATTTGTGGCATACACTTTAATTATATTTTTAATTAATAATTATTTTCATGATAAAATCCTTTTTATTAATGACGAACAATCAAATTTGGAAAGCTAGAGTAATGCTGAATATCATTCCTGTTTCAATAATTAATATTTATCCTTGGATATTTAAGGATTCTATTCTTGAAATTATTAACCATTTAAATAACCAATGAATGGAATTTATTGAGATTATTTATTATTCAACTTAAATAAATATTATTAAATATATTTTTTTTCATTATTCCTTCTCAGATTATTAAAAGGATTTTTTTGGTTATTCTTATTCAGATTTTATTTAACTATATTCTTTATCATATTATCCTTTTTCTTATTCAATTATTAATATATATATGACATGTTTTTATTTGTTATTTTATAAATTAAATTATTTAATAAAACTTTTTATAGTTATTTATGATAATTTATATTTTTCAGATAATTTTTACATTAATTCTCTTTAATAATTTATTAACAAAAATAATAATTCCTTATTATTAGATTATTATTCATCTTTAATTAATTTTATTTAAAAATACAAAAAATAAAAATTAAGAAATATAAAACTGGTAATTTTTAAAAACATAATCAATATTTATTATGTCTAGATATTTTATATTGATGAAGGTGAAATGGATGAATATGAAGAATGAGATTATTATTAACATTTTGGTGATTATTCTGAAATTAATCTTGATCATGAAAAAAATTATTCGATCAAACATTTTATAGTGATAAAGATTGAGATAAAGATTACATAAAATGAAATATGATTTTAATATATTTTCAAAATTTATTAGGAAATAAATATTATTTTGTAATTTTGAATTAAATTTAGTGAGAGAAAAGTATTTATTAAATAAATAAATAATCTGACTACTATATATTTATTAAATATTAAAGTTTTTTTGAGGGTATATTTAAAGCGATATTGTCTGATTCTATTTCTAATAAATTATATAAATTCATCACATCAGTTCATGTTTTTAAAAATAAAATTATTTTAAAGATGATCAATTTGTGATTAAGATTTATAGCCATGATATAATTAATCAATACATTTATAAAAAAATAAAATAAAAAATTTTTTTTTTATAACTTATTTATGCAGAATTTAATTTTTAACTTTATAAAATTATTAAATTTCAGGTTTATTATATTTAACTTTTAGTTGATTGTCAATCTATAGTTATCTATTTTATTAGTTAAAATAAATGAATTTTTTATAGATTTAACTAATTATATTTTACTTTAGCTTGTATTTATGTTTCTAATGAATTCTTCAGTTAAATACACTAATCATAACCTAAACTTTAAAATAAAAAGTTATAATTTCAACAAATATAATTTAAATCAATCAAAAATTTTTAAATAAAGAAATAATTATTTTGTTAGATTTAAGATTACAACTAGTTATTTTTATCAGAAAAAATATTGAAAGCCATTATGTTTTATAAATATAATTATGTTCTAAATAAATATAATAGCTATTAAAAAGGGTAATTATGTTTTAAATGCACATCATGTTATTTAAAAAACTTTGCACATTAAAATTAAACATTTTGAGAAAGAACGAAGAGCGGGTAATTCTTGCAGAATATATAAAAATCATAATTTTCAAAGATATTTAAAATGAAAATCTATTATTTTATTTTTTTTTAATTAATTATTTAATAAAATTATATAAATTATGATAAACTTAAAGAAGCATTTTATAATACAAGCATAAAAAAATAGTTTATTTTGCTAAAATATTATTTTTTTTTTTCAATTTATAATATATTTTTAAGAAATTTTAGAATTTTTTTATTATTTTTAATTTATTTTTTTTTAAATAATATGTTAATAAAATTTATAGTTTTGCTATTTTTAGACTTAAAATATTTTTTAATTTTAATTTAATTTTTTAAATGTTAATTTTATTTAAGTTGTAGCAGTGGTAATGAAAGTGCGCTATGTGTGTACTCTATACATATAATATTTTAAAAAACGATGGCTTTTGTTAGTATTTTAGTTGTTTTGTGATGAGTAAGTAAAGAAATTCGTTATATTTTATTTGCTTAGTAAGTAAATAAGCAAATTAGTTAGTTAGTAAATGACAAGCTAGCCTAATTAGCTAATAACTAAGTCAAAAACTTAAAATAATCAATTCTCAATTATTAGTGTATCAATCAATAAATTTAATTTTTACCCTAATTAAAGAGTCAAAGTTGTGATATTCTTGCACCAGGCTATTCCTATGCCTAAATCTTTTGCACTCTATGCACCAATTTTATTCTCACTTTAAATATAAGAATAAATAAAGAATTAAATAAATAAATATGGCGGAGAAAGGATATAAAAAATGATGGCTTTCGTTAGTATTTTAGTTGTGTTGTGATGAGTAAGTAAAGAAATTCGTTATATTTTATTTGATTATTAAGTAAATAAGCAAGCTGGATTAATTTTCTAATAACTAAGTAAAAAGCTTAAAATAATCAATTCTCAATAATTAGTTTATCAATCAATTAATTTAATTTTTACAGTAAATCAAGTGTCAAAGTTTTGATATTCTTGCACTAGGCTATTCCTCTGCATAAATCTTTTGCACCCTATGCATCAATATTATTTGAACTTTAAATATAAAAATAAATAATAAATTAAATAAATAAATATAGGGGAGAAAGGATGGTAAAAAACGATGGCTTTCGTTAGTATTTTGGTTGTGTTGTGATGAGTAAGTAAAGAAACTCGTTATATTTTATTTGATTAGTAAGTAAATAAGCAAGTTAATTAGTAAATGACAAGATGGTTTAATTAGTTAATAACTAAGTCAAAAGCTTAAAATAATAAATTCTCAATTACTAGTTTATCAATCAATTAATTTAATTCTTACCCTAAACCAAGCGTCAAAGTTGTGATATTCTTGCACTAGGCTATTCCTGTGCCTAAATCTTTTGCGCCCTTTTCACCAATTTTATTCGAACTTTAAATATAAGAATAAATAAAGAATTAAATAAATAAATATGGAGGAGAAAGGATGATAAAAAAATGATTGCTTTCGTTAGTATTTTAGTTAAGTTATAATGAATAAGTAAAGAAATTCGCTATGTTTTATTTGGTTAGCAAAAGCTTAAAATAATAAATTCTCAATTATTAGTGTATCAATCAATAAATTTAATTTTTACCCTAATTGAAGTGTCAAATTTGTGATATTCTTGCACTAGGCTATTCCTGTGCCTAAATCTTTTGCACCCTTATCGCCAATATTATTCCCACTTTAAATAAAAGAATAAATAACGAATTAAATAAATAAATATGGAGGAGAAAGGATGGTAAAAAAACGATGGCTTTCGTTAGTATTTTAGTTGTGTTGGATGAGTAAGCAAAGAAATTAGTTATATTTTATTTGGTTAGAAAGTAAATAAATAAGTTATTTTAGTAAATGGCAAGCTGGCTTAATTAGCTAATAACTAATTCCAAAGCTTAAAATAATCAATTCTTAATTATTAGTTTATCAATCAATAAATTTAATTTTTACCTTATTCTTAGAGTCAAAGTTGTGATATTCTTGTACTAGGTTATTCCTGTACCTAAATCTTTTGCACCCTCTTCACCAATTTTATTCGAACTTTAAATATAAGAATAAATAAAGAATTAAATAAAAAAATATGGAGGAGAAGGAGGGTATAAAAACGATGGCTTTCGTTAGTATTTTCGTTATGTTGTGATGAGTAAGTAAAGAAATTAGTTATATTTTATTTGGTTAGTAAGTAAATAAGCAAGTTAGTTAGTAAATGACAAGCTGGCTTAATTAGCTAATAAATAAGTCAAAAGCTTAAAATAATCAATTCTCAATTTTTAGTTTATCAATCAATAAATATAATTTTTACTATAAATTAAGCGTCAATGTTGTGATATTCTTGCACTAGGCTATTCCTGTACCTAAATCTTTTGCTCCCTCATCACCAATATTATTCAAACTTTAAATATAAGTATAAATAACGAATTAAATAAATAAATATGGAGGGGAAAGGATGGTAAAAAAACGATGGCTTTCGTTAGTATTTTAGTTGTGTTGTGATGAGTAAATTTTGCAATTCGTTTTTTTAATTTGGTAAGTAAATAAATAAGCAAGTTTGTTAGTAAATGACAAGCTGGTTTAATTAGCTAATAATTAAGTTAAAGCTTAAAATAATCAATTCCCAATTATTAGTTTATTAATCAATAAATTTATTTTTTACCCTAAATTAAGAGTCAAAGTAGTGATATTCTTGCACTAAGCTATTCCTATGCCTAAATCTTTTGCACCCTGATCACCAATATTATTCCAACTTTAAATAAAAGAATAAATAACGAAATTAATAAATAAATATTGAGGAGAAAAGATGGTAAAAAAATGATGGCTTTCGTTAGTATTTTAGTTGTGTTGTGATGAGTAAGTAAAGAAATTCATTATATTTTATTTATTTAATAATTAAATAAGCAAGTTAGTTAATAAACGAAAAGCTGGCTTAATTAGTTAATAACTAAGGCAAAAGCTTAAAATAATCAATTCTCAATTATTAGTTTATCAATCAATAAATTTAACTTTTACAGTAAATTAAGAGTCAAAGTTGTGATATTATTGCACTAGGCTATTCCTGTGCCTAAATCTTTTGCACCCTAATCACCAATATTATTCCAACTTTAAATATAAGAAAAATAACGAATAAAATAAATAAATATGGAAGAGAAAGGATGGTAAAAAAACGATGGCTTTCGTTAGTATCTTAGTAGTGTTGTGATGAGTAAGTAAAGAAATTCGTTATATTTTATTTGGTTAGTAAATAAATAAGCAAGTTAGTTAGTAAATGACAAGCTGGCTTAATTAGTTAATAACTAAATTAAAAGCTTAAAATAATAAATTCTCAATTATTGGTTTATCAATCAAAAAATTTAATTTTTACAGTAAATCAAGATTCAAAGTTGTGATATTATTGCACTAGGCTATTCCTGTGCCTAAATCTTTTGCTCCCTCATCGCTAATATTATTCTCACTTTAAATATAAGAATAAATAACAAATTAAATAAATAAATATGGAGGAGAAATAATGGTAAAAAAACGATGGCTTTCGTTAGTATTTTAGTTGTGTTGTGATGAGTAAGTAAAGAAATTCGCTATATTTTATTTGATTAGTAAGTAAATAAGCAAGTTATACTAAAATCCCGTGTATTTTTTACAAGCCCAGCTATTTAATGCTCAATTAATAATAAATAAAGATATATAAATATTTAATTGATTTAAAAATATTCTGGAATTGTTCTATTAATCAAAAAAATAAAAAAGAGAGCTTGGGTTTTTTTTCTTCGATTCATCAAAAATAAAGGTTATGAGATTAAATTAATAGGAAGGTATTTATTTTCAAATTTTGTAAAAAGTTAAAATTCTTTGATATTTTTGAAATTTTATTGCATTTGCAATATTTTTGTAAATTTTAATTATCACCTCAATAGATTTTATTATTAAACAATTAATAAAGTTTATTTTTTTATTGTAGATTGTATTAATAGATAATAATTTTATCTTTAAGTTAAAAATTTTTAAAGGATGTATCCATCATAAATTATTAAATATCAAATCATTCATAATTTCTATAAAGATATAAAATGTTAATTGAATCTTGTATTTGAATTCTTAAATGATAATTTGAAGATATTTAATTTCAATTTAAATTAATTTTATATATATAATTACCTTAAATCTATTTCGATATTTTGAAATTCTCTAATTTTATGCAAATCCTCCTTACTCTTTATTTATATTTACTTGATATCCTAAATTTGAATCTAATTTTAAGAAAGTAATGGAGCAATAGATCCAATGTTTACAGTCTCAACATTTTATATTGGACCTAAACTATGCTATGATATAATTTATTTCATATCATTTTAGTTTGATTTGAATTTTTTTGAATTCTATTCAACAATAATAGAAAGAGAAGCCCTATTAACTCTTTCCCAGACGACTAATTGTTGAATAAATTTAAATATTTCAGTGTCTCGCTTAATATTTATTTTTTATTTTTTGAAAGGCTCTTCATATTAATTTAAAGTCATATTCGCAAAAATAACTCCTGCTTTTTCTTTCAAAATCAAGTAATTGTCAAGCAAAGATAGTAGTAAGCCAACTGAATAAGAATCCGACTTAAAACAAAAATTTATTTGTATATATTAAGAAGTAGTTATAACAATATTACTTTTTTAGAGTAAATCTTATTTTAATTATCATTTTTAGCTAAAATTTCAGGTGCCATGTAGGCATAATTTCCTAGCATCTAAAAATATATTAAAACTACTTGATAATTTTATATTAACTAAAATAATTTACATCTAAAATTTCAATTTATTCACAATTTTTTTCAAGTTAAGCAGATAATCCAAAATCACCTAATATTAAAATGATTAAATTGTTTTTAAAAATTAAAAAATATCAGGATAAATTACATAGTTTGATTTCAAGTTGATTGCCATCCAAACAAACCAAAAAATTGTCAGGTTTAATATCTCTATGAATAATATTAAAACAATGAATATAATTGACAGAGTCAATTACTTGGATTGCAATATTCAATTTTTCTTCATCGCTAAACTCTCTTTCTCTTCCTTATCTTTCTAGATATTCCTTAAGTGAACCTTTTTTACAATAAATGATATGAAAAAATTATTATAGATATTATAACCTCAACAATAAATGAGTAGCTTATTATTAGATTAGCCTAATATGCTACTAAAATACTTTAAGTGGTATATTTAAAATTTACATTTAATTTAATAACAAATTAAAATATTTACAATTTTATAAATTTTTATATAAGAATTTACATGAACATTTTTCTAATTCAAAAACTACATACTTTTCAGGTGCTGTAGCTTTTTCTATGATATAATTGTCATATAGCTAGACAATTAAAGGTGTTTTTAATTATTACATTATTCTAATTTCATTTTAAATTTCTTGCTCATTTACTATCTTTTGTATTTTTAATACTATTTCCTTGTTGTTGAACTCAACTTTTTTAGTAGATAATATCATACCAAAGCTTCCAAAATTAAGAATTTGGAAATTATTTGCATATTTCTTATCTTCATATATACTTTTTAATAACTTGGATAGAATTTCTACTTTTGTAAATTTTTGATTAGTATCTTTTCTCATTATTCTTGAATCTGTGTTATCAATCAAGATTTGTGCATCCTTCTCAAATTAAGTTTGCTTAGAAAAGATTGTTATGAAAATCATAAAATTAATAATTTGGAATATAAAATATAAATATAATAATATTTTTACTTTATTTTTTTCAAGCTCATTAATTCTATTGAATATGTATTATGCTTATTACGGAATTTGTTCCTATCAATAAAAAAATAATAATTAATGTTTGTTGTCTATAACAAGCAGGGTTGAGCTGATATTAAAATTCGGATCAGATATTTTATATTCAGATCAAAGATTTTATTAAATTGACTTTTATTATCAAGAAGCAAAGTTTAAAATTACATTAAATATTTTGAGTTAAATGGTTAGTTAATTAATTAGATTAGCCAGAAAAAAATTGGTAATTGTATTCATTACTTCTAATATCATAGATGAAAGCGTGAATTTCAATGGTTTTCCATGAAGCTTAATAAGTTCAGAAAGTAGGTCTCCTGAAGTTGTCCTTTCCAAATAATTTGGTTTTAAGCAAATCTCTGCTATTTTATAAATATTAGAATTTCTATCAATCTAATATTACGAAGCTATTCCTTTTCCTTAATATATCTCTCCTTTTATATCAAAGTCAATCCAATTTTGATTTAGAACATTCAGATTATCTAGCTCAAGTAATACTAGTCCTAGAGAAAAGAGATCCGACTTTAAACATTAAAATTAAATTAAAAATTTAAAGATTAGTTTTGTTTAAAAACCTGAATTCTGGATTATCCTTTTTCTACCTCTGGAGCGAAGTAAGTATCAGTTCCTTTCTATAGATTAAAATAATGTAAGATTAATTTTAAATAATATTTTGATGTTTACCTTTGATAGGTAATGGCTTTTCGATTTTGTTACTGCAGATGCAAATCCCAAATCACCTTGATTATCAATAATTTTTTAAATTGATATATTTTGTAAAAATCTAAATATTTTACAGATTTTGATTGTAAATCCATAAGTTTGAGAAGGACAAACTAGGAAATTATTAGGCTTGATATCTCTATGCATGATATTTTTAATATGTAGGGTATTTAATCCTTCTAACATTTGAATAGCTATTATTTCCTTTATTTATTGAGATGGAAGTTATGTGTTTCTAAAAAAATCGAAGAGCTGTTTAAGATTTTCTATTTATAAAATACAAACAAGTATTTTGTAATATTTATGAAATTAAAGAAAGATATTTTTAAAATTTGCTCTATATATATTTAAAAACATATTTTAATGTAAAAATGTTTATAAATTAAAATTAATAAATAAAAAAGTTTTTTGACAAAAATAAAAACTATTATTTAAAAAATATATTATTAATAATATATTTTGTTTAATTTAAATTATTTAAAACTTTGTTCATAAAATTTTGTTAATTATTAAAAAATGAATTATAAAATTAAATTTATAATTATAATATTGGGTTAATAGATTATTAAATTTAGATTAATCAATCTTCTAGAACATTTAATTAAGAAACCTACTAAAATTCAATAGAAATTTAATTAAAGATGCCTTCTTTTTGGGGGAATTAAAAAAATTAAAAATAATAAAATTTTATAAAATAAATAATTTCTATTATAGTTAGTTACCAAATTAAATAAATTAGCTTAACACAAATCTTTTTCTACTTCAAAAGTAATGAAATCCAAAAAGACTTAGAAAAAATATGAATTTGACCTTTTAAAATGGCGGAACTTCAACAATCATAAATTATGTAAAAAATAAAATAGCATCATATTTTTTTTAGCTTTTTCAGATAGATTTTTCTAAAAATTGGGGGAGAAAAAAAAATGGAGGAAAAATAATATTTTGAATACATTCGCAAAGCTCCATTTCCATCACAAAAAAGGACTTCTCATCTTTATCCACTTCTACATCTTCTTCCATTAGATAGAAGCAATCATAGACATTTACCAAAAAATCAGATTAGCTGAATTTCTGAAGCAATTCATATTCTTTTTTCAAAGATTCGATACCTTTTAAACCCTCTTTGCTAGTACATGTTAGGAATTTAAGGGCAACCATGCGATTACTGTTAATGTTTTTAGCCTTCAAGACGAGGGCATAAGCACCGCTGCTTAAGTACTCTAAATTTTAGAATTGTTTTTTCTGGTTGAGGATCAATTTGATTATTTCTTTCAAACCATGCTTTTGTATCTAACAATCCTTGGGGATCTTTTCTGATATTCCTTTTACTAACTATTTATAAAATTCTATGAACTTTTTTTATTTTGATTAATCCTATCCCATTGAGGTGAGGAGTTGTCTAGGCTATTAACTTTTTAAGAGTAGGCTGTGAGCTATGCTTTTTACTAAAAACAGTTGTTTTTGTTTTGATGTGAAAATTTTATATGCAAAAGAGATTTTGAGTATCACTATTTATAGAGATTAATTCAAAGAAATTTGATTAATTTAGCTCATAAAAAAAAGAGCCTAATCAAGATGAAGTTTTTATTAGTTTTTAAATATAATATTATCTCTCAAATTATATCATTAAATATTCAAATGCAAATTAATAAATATCATATTAATTTTTTATAAAAAAATGTAATAAAGTAATATATTGAATAATTATAATAAAGCATACTTTATTTTAAAATTAAAAGGTAATAATTATTTTTTTTTTTATAAACAAAAAACCACATGTGATAATAAAATAAAATTGTTTTATTTTATTGGAAAGTCTAAAATAAATAAAAATTAAATTATTTTAAATATTTAAATTAGCTAATTCATTTAAAATATTAATAGAAATAAAAAATTGAGTATCTAATTCTAAAAAATACTAATACTTCTAAGAAATTCAAAGATTGTTATTAATACTTTTTGAGCTAAATACTATTCGCTTTAGCCTGGTATATGTATTATGGTTTTTAGCATAGCCTATATATCATAGAGTTAGAAAAAATTTATTCGCTAAAAATTTGCATACTTTGATTAGTTTCTGAAGGCTCTTTATATTTTTTGATTACATTCGTTGAACAAAATTTCAGGCTAAAATTAAAAAATAAATTGAATTAATGAATAATAATTAGTGGAAAAGCACATTTATTTTCATATAAAATATCCATCTATCTATATTAATTAATTGAGTCTAAAGGAAAAAGTCTTAACTTATTTATTTATCAGTATACTAACTAATATCTTTTACAATTTATTTACTTTTTCTTTTGCAAAAGCAACAATCAGTTTAAATAAGCCAATAAATATTTTTCATTTTTTCATTTAAAAAATTTCATAATAAATATTTTCATAAAAAAACCTATTTGTTGGATTTTTTCAATTTTTTATCAAAAAACTACCTAGAAATATTTATATTCTATTTAAATATGTCAAAATTAAATCTATTTCACTTTTTAATGTTTAAGTAAATTAAATCATAAGATACAAACAAATAAATATTATTTTCTTAATCATAATTCATATTTCTGCTCTAATCCATATTATTATTATTAAATTATGCACCACTGAATCTTCAAACCTCAATATTTTTTATGCAAATATATTACTCGAAACTTGAATACATACTAAAATAATAGTTCTATAGCTAAAAGCCATAAAATTAATTTTTAATTTCAAATACTAAAAAGAATAATTTAATTTTTTTTACACTAGCTTACATATATTTAAATATTTTTTGTTATATTTGTGGAAGAATTGAGAAAATATGTTAAATAATTTTGATATACATCACATATATTTAATGAATTAATATAAAAATTTTAAATCTTAAGATTTTGGTGATTATTCCGAAATTAATCTTGATCATGAAAAAAATTATTCGATCAAACATTATATAGTGATAAAGATGGAGATAAAGATTATTTTAAATTGAAAATGATTTTAATCTATTTTCAAAATTTTTTAGGTAATAAATATTATTTTGTAATTTTGAATTAAATTTAGTGAGAGAAAAGTAATTATATAGATAGATTAATAAATATTTGACTACTTTATATTTATTAAATATTAAATTTTTTTTGGGGGCATAGTAAAAGCGATATTGTCTGATTCAAATAATAGTATTTCTAATAAATCATATAAATTCATCATATCAGTTCATGTTTTTAAAAATAAAATTATTTTAAAGAAGATCAACTTGTGATTAGGATTTAAACAAAGTTTTTAGGTATAAATCATATTTTTATTAATAGCCATGATTTAATTAATCAATAAATTTATAAAAATAACAAAATTAAAAAATATTTTTTTTTGTAATTTATTTATGCAGAATTTAACTTTTTATTTTATAAAATTATTAAATTTCAGGTTTTTTATATTTAACTTTTAGTTGATTGTCAATATATAGTTATCTATTTTATTAGTTAAAATAAATGAATTTTTTATAAATTTAACTAATTATATTTTACTTTAGCTTGTATTTATGTTTCTAATAAATTCTTCAATTAGATTGTCTAATAATCATCTAAACTTTAAAATAAAAAGTTATAATTTCAACAAATAAAATTTAAATCAATCAAAATTTTTTAAATAAAAAAATAATTATTTTGTTAGAATTAAGATTACAACTAATTATTTTTATCAGAAAAAATATATTGAAAGTCATTATGTTTAATAAATATAATTATATTTTAAATAAATCTAATAGCTATTAAAAAGGGTAATTATGTTATAAATGCACATAATGTTATTTAAAAAACTTCGCACATTAAAATTAAGCATTTTGAGAGAGAACGAAGAGTTGATAATTCTTGCAGATTATATAAAAATCATAATTTTCAAGTTATTTAAAATATAAAATCGATTATATTATTTTTTTAATTTATTATTTAATAAAATTATAGAAATTATGATAAACTCAAAGTAGCATCTAATAATATAAGCATAAAAAAATAGGTTATATTGCTAAAATATTATTTTTTTTATTAAATTTATCATAAATATGGAGGAGAAAGGATTGTAAAAAAACGATGGCTTTCGTTAGTATTTTAGTTGTGTTGTGATGAATAAATAAAGAAATTCGTTATATTTTATTTGGTTAGTAAGTAAATAAGCAAGTTAGTTAGTAAATGACAAGCTGGCTGAAGTAGCTAATAACTAAATCAAAAGCTTAAAATAATCAATTCTCAATTATTAGTTTATCAATCAATAAATTTAATTTTACAATAAAACAAGAGTTAAAGTTGTGATATTCTTGCACTAGGCTATTCCTGTGCCTAAATCTTTTGCACCCTTTGCACCAATATTATTCTTTCTTTAAATATAAAAATAAATAACGAAATAAATAAATAAATATGGAGGAGAAAGGATGGTAAAAAAACGATGGCTTTTGTTAGTATTTTAGTTGTGTTGTGATGAGTAAGTAAAGAAATTCGTTATATTTTATTTGGTTAGTAAGTAAATAAGCAAGTTAGTTAGTAAATGACAAGCTGGCTTAATTAGCTAATAACTAAGTCAAAATCTCAAAATAATCAATTCTCAATTATTAGTTTATCAATCAATAAATTTAATTTTACTATAATTTAAGAGTTAAAGTTGTGATATTCTTGCACTAGGCTATTCCTGTGCCTAAATCTTTTGCACCCTATGCACCAATATTATTCTCGCTTTATATATAAGAATAAATAACGAATTAAATAAATAAATATGGAGGAGAAAGGATTGTAAAAAAACGATGGCTTTCGTTAGTATTTTAGTTGTGTTGTGATGAGTAAGTAAATAAATTCGTTATATTTTATTTGGTTAGTAAGTAAATAAGCAAGTTAGTTAGTAAATGACAAGCTGGTTTAATTAGCTAATAACTAAGTCAAAAGCTTAAAATAATCAATTCTCAATTATTAGTTTATCAATCAATAAATTTAATTTTACTATAAATAAAGAGTTAAAGTTGTGATATTCTTGCACTAGGCTATTCCTGTGCCTAAATCTTTTGCACCCTATGCACCAATATAATTCCACCTTTATATATAAGAATAAATAACGAATTAAATAAATAAATATGGAGGAGAAAGGATGGTAAAAAAACGATGGCTTTCGTTAGTATTTTAGTTGTGTTGTGATGAGTAAGTAAAGAAATTCGTTATATTTTATTTGGTTAGTAAGTAAATAAGCAAATTAGTTAGTAAATGACAAGCTGGCTTAATTAGCTATTAACTAAGTCAAAAGCTTAAAATAATCAATTCTCAATTATTAGTTTATCAATCAATAAATTTAATTTTACTATAAATCAAGAGTTAAAGTTGTGATATTCTTGCACTAGGCTATTCCTGTGCCTAAATCTTTTGCACCCTCATCACCAATATTATTCTCGCTTTATATATAAGAATAAATAAATATGGAGGAGAAAGGATGGTAAAAAAACGATGGCTTTCGTTAGTATTTTAGTTGTGTTGTGATGAGTAAGTAAAGAAATTCGTTATATTTTATTTGGTTAGTAAGTAAATAAGCAAGTTAGTTAGTAAATGACAAGCTGGCTTAATTAGCTAATAACTAAGTCAAAAGCTTAAAATAATCAATTCTCAATTATTAGTTATCAATCAATAAATTTAATTTTACTATAAATCAAGAGTTAAAGTTGTGATATTCTTGCACTAGGCTATTCCTGTGCCTAAATCTTTTGCACCCTCATCACCAATATTATTCTCGCTTTATATATAAGAATAAATAACGAATTAAATAAATAAATATGGAGAAGAAAGATGGTAAAAAAACGATGGCTTTCGTTAGTATTTTAGTTGTGTTGTGTTGATTAAGTAAAGAAATTCGTTATATTTTATTTGGTTAGTAAGTAAATAAGCAAGTTAGTTAGTAAATGACAAGCTGGCTTAATTAGCTAATAACTAAGTCAAAAGCTTAAAATAATCAATTCTCAATTATTAGTTTATCAATCAATAAATTTAATTTTACTATAAATAAAGAGTTAAAGTTGTGATATTCTTGCACTAGGCTATTCCTGTGCCTAAATCTTTTGCACCCTCATCACCAATATTACTCTTTCTTTAAATATAAAAATAAATAACGAATTAAATAAATAAATATGGAGGAGAAAGGATGGTAAAAAAACGATGGCTTTCGTTAGTATTTTAGTTGTGTTGTGATGAGTAAGTAAAGTAATTTGTTATATTTTATTTGATTAGTAAGTAAATAAGTAAGTTAGATAGTAAATGACAAGCTGGCTTAATTAGCTAATAACTAACTCAAAATCTTAAAATAATCAATTCTCAATTATTAGTTTATCAATCAATAAATTTAATTTTACTATAATTTAAGAGTTAAAGTTGTGATATTCTTGCACTAGGCTATTCCTGTGCCTAAATCTTTTGCACCCTATGCACCAATATTATTCTTTCTTTAAATATAAAAATAAATAACGAATTAAATAAATAAATAAATATAAATAGAGGAGAAAGGATGGTAAAAAACAATGGCTTTCGTTAGTATTTTAGTTGTGTTGTGATGAGTAAGTAAAGAAATTCGTTATATTTTATTTGGTTAGTAAGTATAGCTGTTCCAGCTTTTGAAATATCACAGATCATATATCATGATTTGTGATATTTCAAATAATTTTTACATTACCAATGAACATTTTTTTTTTCAAAATCTTAAAAAAAAAAAATACATAAACTGCCATTTAGTCATTTATATATTAATATTTTTACAAACTCCGCTGATTAAATATATTCAATCAGCGGAATTTTAAAACCAGGAACAGCTATAAATAAGCAAGTTAGTTAGTAAATGACAAGCTGGCTTAATTAGCTAATAACTAAGTCAAAAGCTTAAAATAATCAATTCTCAATTATTAGTTTATCAATCAATAAATTTAATTTTACTATAAATAAAGAGTTAAAGTTGTGATATTCTTGCACTATGCTATTCCTGTGCCTAAATCTTTTGCACCCTCATCACCAATATTATTCTCGCTTTATATATAAGAATAAATAACGAATTAAATAAATAAATATGGAGGAGAAAGGATTGTAAAAAAACGATGGCTTTCGTTAGTATTTTAGTTGTGTTGTGATGAGTAAGTAAAGAAATTCGTTATATTTTATTTGGTTAGTAAGTAAATAAGCAAGTTAGTTAGTAAATGACAAGCTGGCTTAATTAGCTAATAACTAAGTCAAAAGCTTAAAATAATCAATTCTCAATTATTAGTTTATCAATCAATAAATTTAATTTTACTATAAATCAAGAGTTAAAGTTGTGATATTCTTGCACTAGGCTATTCCTGTGCCTAAATCTTTTGCACCCTCATCACCAATATTATTCTAACTTTAATTATTAGAATAAATAACGAATTAAATAAATAAATATGGAGGAGAAAGGATGGTAAAAAAATAATGGCTTTCATTAGTATTTTAGTTGTGTTGTGATGAGTAAGTAAAGAAATTCGTTATATTTTATTTGGTTAGTAAGTAAATAAGCAAGTTAGTTAGTAAATGACAAGCTGGCTTAATTAGCTAATAACTAAGTCAAAAGCTTAAAATAATCAATTCTCAATTATTAGTTTATCAATCAATAAATTTAATTTTACTATAAATAAAGAGTTAAAGTTGTGATATTCTTGCACTAGGCTATTCCTGTGCCTAAATCTTTTGCACCCTCATCACCAATATTATTCTAACTTTAATTATTAGAATAAATAACGAATTAAATAAATAAATATGGAGGAGAAAGGATGGTAAAAAAACGATGGTTTTCGTTAGTATTTTAGTTGTGTTGTGATGAGTAAGAAAAGAAATTCGTTATATTTTATTTGGTTAGTAAGTAAATAAGCAAGTTAGTTAGTAAATGACAAGCGGGCTTAATTAGCTAATTACTAAGTCAAAAGCTTAAAATAATCAATTCTCAATTATTAGTTTATCAATCAATAAATTTAATTTTACTATAAATCAAGAGTTAAAGTTGTGATATTCTTGCACTAGGCTATTCCTGTGCCTAAATCTTTTGCACCCTATGCATCAATATAATTCAATCTTTATATATAAAAATAAATAACGAATTAAATAAATAAATATGGAGGAGAAAGGATGGTAAAAAAAAGATGGCTTTCGTTAGTATTTTAGTTGTGTTGTGATGAGTAAGAAAAGAAATTCGTTATATTTTATTTGGTTAGTAAGTAAATAAGCAAGTTAGTTAGTAAATGACAAGCTGGCTTAATTAGCTATTAACTAAGTCAAAAGCTTAAAATAATCAATTCTTAATTATTAGTTTATCAATCAATAAATTTAATTTTACTATAAATAAAGAGTTAAAGTTGTGATATTCTTGCACTAGGCTATTCCTGTGCCTAAATCTTTTGCACCCTATGCACCAATTTTATTCAAACTTTAATTATTAGAATAAATAACGAATTAAATAAATAAATA